TAGTTTTACCTCATTATTGGAAGCTTTGGACATGTTTAACATGAACATCCAACATTGTAACATTGTAGATAAGTCATAAAATGTGGAAAAGTCTCCATTAAACTACTTAAAGTACAAGTTACTTTTTGTTATAATATTGTTCAGTGTATGCAGGCCAGAGAGGGCAAGTGCAAGCAAAGTCTCAAGTCTCTTTTTTGAAAAATAAGTGTTTCACTTGCTTTGATATGAAGGGTGTTGTCTTTTCCAGTAGCTCAGGCACCCAATACAGTATGATTAGTGGTATTTACATTTATCTGACACTTTTATAACAATAATAACATGGGAGCAGCCAATTGTAGAATAAAGTAAGGTGAGCCCATATATAGAAGGAGACCTATATATCAAGCGTAAAGCCACCCACATTTGCTCTCTCCTTATGCTTCTCAAAAGTTATTGTTGAATAAATAACAACTATGGAGTGAAGGCCAAGATCAGTTTTACAGGCAACATTCTATTTAATGAATTCACCAGTGTGTCGCTTACATTTGTTATGCATAGAATAAATACGCTTTTAAACGCTTTAATGTAAAGTGAAAGTATTTTTTCGGGCTTGTGAAAGGGCGATGCCGGCTGGTTTCCAACACTGCCACCAGTAAACCAACCAAACCTTACATTTGAAAGGGTATTTGGCTGATTTTCTGAATGTTTCCTTCTGCCCAGTACATATCTGTGCTGGTAATTCCTGACTTTTCATCTAGGGCCACCGTGAGGGTGACATTTGTGGAGGTCAATCCCATCAGCATCTGCTGTCTTTTATGTGTAGTGCCATTTAACCTAATGTCAGCTCACGTTAATCCAAGATGGTGAACATGGTTTAACATTAAACTTGTTGGAATGGTCATTGTGAGCCTGTTATAACATGCTGATGTTAGCATTTATCTGAAAGCGTCAAGGTGCCTTAGTACAGCCTCTAAGAGCTTCTAGCGTGGCTGTAGACTCTCAGTCTTGTTTGGGTGTGCACTCTACACTGTGATCTGTATTTGGAAAAATTCAGCCACAATGTTTTTTTCCAGAAAAAAAATGTGCCGGTCACTTTGGGTAACATACTGACCTCCTTAATAAACATATTTCACTGAAGCAAATCTACTGAAGAAAACTGATGTGGGAAACTGGGTGAACTAACTCTTTCACTGTTTACATTTTGTTTTCTAGTCTCTGCACAAGTAAAACTAATGTAGTCAAATACAGCAGCCCTACAAAAATCCTAATTATCCACATTTTTCTAATTATCATAAATCCTTGATATACATTGGATGGTCAATATGTTAGAGACAGCAATAAACAATTAGCAATACACAAGTAGAAAAGGCAGTGATGTTTCTGAGAGCAACCGCCTATTTTACTCACAACCCAGATCAGTTTCAGTGTGAAGAGTCTGATGTATCTGCTGATGCAACAAATTTCTGTTTGTTTCTTCCAATGACCTCAGGCTGACAGAGTGACAGGTGTGAAGCTGGTCACCTTTCAAAGCAAGCAAGAACTAAACAAGACTGGGGATGGAAAGATAAACATGGAAATGATGAAACCAGTAGGTAAACACGAACAACATAATGAAGTAATCATGTGGTCAATTAGTGGGGTTTATGGCTTTTTTTTAGACAAGAAGTCTTTTTAAACTCCATCTTGCCAAAGCTAATGGAACATTTATGGGTTTTATTTGCATTTCTGTATTCAGTGTATTCTGTAAATTCTGAACTTGCTAACCCCTGAGGCCAACAAGCTTTTTTATTACACACACACCTCACACAAACTACTCCTATTCTGCTCATAAGACAGAAATTATTATTCAACCTTCCTCGTAACTTACAGCAGCTGCAGGTTAAACAGAGTGAGAGCACACTGAGAAGTCATCACTCTTAGCCTTCACACTCTTTAAATGAGATATAAATATTAAGCGGTAGGAGGAAAATATTTGTTCATTCTTATGTTTAGTCTCATGTTCAAGTCCTGGTTTATCTGTATGACCTTATAATGCCTTCAAATTGGTTTCTCTATATATGCACTATACTATCTTTATTACAGTACACGTGATGGTGTCTTTACTTGTTTACTTTTCCTTTAAAAGGATGCACATTTTACATGATGTTTTTATGAATTGCTGTTTACAAATAATAAATTACAATAATGTCCTGAACTGTTTTATATAGTTACAGAACTCTTAAATAGCACTGCCTTTGACATTGCAGATCAATACATCATTGCTGACCGTGGTGACCACGTGACACTGGGGGAAGTACAAAGGCTTTTAAGATCTGTTTATCAAAGAGGAAGGTCTCTGTTTGATTTTGGGCTGTGCCCTTCTAACTCATCTAAATACACAACCATTAACCAGTAATGACAAAACAGGTGTCACACAAAGGCGATCAAAGTCTCAATGTATATATGAATTGCATCAAACCAAATTTAAATATTCTTCTTGGGACTGTATTTACTGTAAATAACATATTCAACTGTGGTTTTCAGAAGCAACCTTGCTTTTTGGTCTGTGCTTTCCATGTAACACCACGCTGATTAGCGTGAACCAATTGTACTGGCACCAAGACATATTTTTTTTAGATAATGCCAAGCCCAAGCCTATATTCAAAATATAAAAATGTATTTGGCATAATTGACATTAATCCAAAACAACATTCATGTGAAGAGGAAGTCTGGCTGCAATCAATGAACCAGACTACAGCGGACTTTGAGGTCAGTTAAAAAAAAAACGCCATCGGTGGAAAACTCTGCAGGTCTCTTAGTCTTAAATTAATTACCTGACAGTCTGCCAGCCTCTCCACTTTCTGTCGGAGACTCACACATCAGTAGGGAAACCAGTGAATTTCATGCTTCACTAATTGCTTTACATTTAAAGGGAAATTTCTGACATATTTTCTGCCAGTCCTGTAATATTTAATCACACGTCTTGCCTCTGTGGGTAACTGTCAAAGTTAATTTCATCGCTGTTTCACACAATCACTGCTGCAGACAAGTTCCCTTTTTTCAACTGTGTTCCTGCAACATGCTGATGTTCTAGTGTTATTTCCATTATGTGTAATGTCCTGTTTCCAATGTTGGGTTTTGTTTTTTCATGCATTTAAATACGTCAAGTCAAATGTTTTATTTTTTTATAAAGCATTCACATTTTGCATTTACACAATGCACAAGTTACCACATTTTGTTAATTGATAAATATAATAAATAAAAATAAATATAATTAAAAAAAATATATAATGTTTTTACATATAGACATGTTATTATTATTATATATTATAGATAGATTATATTTATCAATTAACAAAATGCAAAGTGAGTGAACAGAAGAAAAATCTAAATCAAATCAATATTGGGTGTCACCTGATATTTGGTATATGATTAAACAACTTGAAACAGAAACAGCTGTGTAGGATGAAAAAAACTGGGTGAGAAACAGCCAAACTCAGATAACAAGGTGAGGTTGCGGAAGACAGTTTACAGCAACAAGACACAAGTTATACTCCATCAGCAAGGCCTCTCCAAGGCAGAAATTTAAAGGCAGACTGGGGTTTCCAGATGTGTCCAAGCTCTTTTTAAGAAGCTGGGAAGAAATGGGCAGAAAAAAGAAACTTGCTGGAGCAGACAAAAGACAGGTCATGCTTAGTTCGGTGCAAGAATGAGTGTCTGCAGGCAACAGTGAAGCATGGTGGAGGTTCCTTGCAAGTTTGGAGCTGCATTTTTGCAAACAAGGTGGGGATTTGGTCAGAATGAATGGTCTCCTCCATGCTGAGAAGTACAGACGCATACTTGCATTATCCCCAAACATACAAGTGAAAGTCATTAAGAACTACTAAAGAAGGAGTCCTAGAAGTGATGATATGGCCCCAACAGAGCCCTGATCTCAACATCATTGAGTCTGTGAGAATTTCATGAAGAGAGAGAAGCAAATGAGGCTGCCTAAATCCACAGGACTGTGGGCAGTTCTTCAGATGTATGGGCCAACCTACCTGCCGAGTTCCTTCAAAAACTGCGCGCAAGTGTACCTAGGAGAATTGATGGTGTTTTACATCAAATTTTAATTTAATTTAGATGTTTCTTCTGTGCACTCACTTCATTTTGTTGCATCTATTTACGTCTTAGCATTTTTCCCACACCTGCGTAAAACTTCTGCATGGTACTGAATATACTTTAATAATAGTCTACATTATATTATGGAGAAAGGTTGACTCAACCTTTGTGTGGTGTGTTGTGCATGGACAAAAGAAAGAAGAGAAAAGAGTTGTCTGAGTATTTGAGAAGCACAGACAATCTCAAGGGTACAAGTCCATCTCCAGATGTTCTGTGTGCACTGTGCACAACATTGCAAAGAAGTTTACAGCCCATGGCACTGTAGCTAATCTCACTGGACGAAAGAGACAATTTGATAAAAGACTGCAATGAATAATTGTTTGTTTGATAAAGAACCGCAAACAACTTCCAAACAAATTCAGGCTCACAGTGTCAGCTCTCACTCTCCGTTGCCATCTTAATGAAAAGGTATGACCCAGGAGGACCCCGCTGCGGACACAGAAACATAAAACAGCCAGATTGGAGTTTGCCAAAACTTACCTGATGAGGCCAAAATCCCTCTGGGAGAATGTCCTGTGGACAAATAAAATAGAGCTTTTTGGTAAAGTACATCATTCTTCTGTTTTCAGAAAACGAAATGAGGCCTTCTAAGTAAAGAACACGGTCCCTAAAGTCAAACATGTGGATGTTCACTGATGTTTTGCAGTTGCTTTACTGATTCAGGTACTGGATGTCTTGTGAATAACAGTTTGAAATCTACCAAAGAATTATGGGGCATAATGTAGGGCCCAGTGTCAGAAAGCTGGGTCTCCGTCAGAGGTTATGAGTCTTACAGCAGGGATTTATACTTTACAAAGGCTCTGCAAAGAAGTCTCCAATAAAAAAAAAAAACATTCCAAATATTAGTCATATCCCAAAATGAATGACAGCCTCACACAATCCACACCTTAATGCCATTGAAAATTTATTGTGATATCTGATAGTTTACATTAGAGTGAAAACAGACATGTGACATGGCTTTACTAAGACAGAATGCAAAGCAATGTAGTCAAATAAAAAGCATAATATTTTTGTTTTTAAATTTAGGAAAAAATAATAAAACAGGCACGACATATAGCCATTATAAATACAACATGCTTTAGACCTTAAACTGTAGTTTAACAGTCCTAAGAAAAGAACTTGTACAGCCTTTTCCCCTGTATACTCATCTTGCCTTTGATAAACACCCTTTCAGGTACGTTTTTTTGACAGTAACAGAGCTCAAAATGGCGGAAGCCAGTGTCACGATAAAACAAAGTAACAATAAAAAGTAAACAGTTTTCAGCAGCAAATATCTACATTTTTCATCCAGGCTGCTTTGACGGTGAAGTTCAGAGGATCAACACATTCTACAGAAAGACAATGTCGTAAGTGACAGGATTTTGCCTCTTTAATTTTGGTATAGCAATTGATTTTGCAGGAGACACTCGAACATGATCCCTGGCTTCCTTCCTGCCCGCTGACACATGACACTGATGCATTCGATAGAACTTGGTTGGTTCTTATTTGGTACACACCAACAGTGACACTGGCAACTGCTTTTTGTTCGTCTAATTTAGACTTGACTGATCGAAGGGAGAGTATAGAGGCTCTGCACTTGGGTCACAAATCTCCCAGCAACCACTGCTGGCACCATCCTGGAGGTCCTGCCTGTGTGCATGTAACAGTTAACAAGTTAAGAAGTCAGCCTACTGTAGGTTGTAACACTTTAAGCAGACATGAATGGTCTGGTAAGGCAGATTTTAAGTTTCCAAATTGAGCCACCAGTGCCATTCTCTTTGCTCTATGAGTTTGGGAAAAGTTTAGTTAAACTAAACAAATGGTCTGCTTTTGATATTTGACCAGATAAAAGCTGCATCCCAATACAGGAGCTGCAACCCTTGAAGGATGCAGCCCTGAAGGATGTGTGTCCTTCGAGGGAACTAAAGGCCAAGGTGTTCAGCTGCTGTTGAGTTATACTTCAAACAACAGGTGTGCAGTGGATTTTGGGACACGGAGTGCTACAAATTCAAGCAAAAGAAGGATGCATTTGAAGGAGTCTTTAAAATAGGACAGGCCTTGAAATGCAATCTTCAAAAGGATGCAGCCCCAGAACTGGGATGTAAGCTCAGGTAGCTAACAATCTAACATTATCAAAACAATCAAAGATTTTAACAGTTTGCACAAAAATTAAGTTCTCAAGAAATACAATCAGATATTCACAGCCAGCATTGCCAAAAGCTAATGACCTCCAATATGGCTGCCAGAGGGTGTGTTTCATCACCTGAAAGCCCTCTATCCAGGACACGTGTGTTGGCGAAAGGGTCTTGGTAAAGGCTCTCCCTGCGACATGGTGGGAGATTCCAGCTCACCCTCAAAGTCTACATGGCTCAGCAGAGACCTAAACACCGGCCCTCTAACGGGCTCTCACCACACAAGCTAAATAAACAAGCTAACAGAAAAACAAAACAGGGGATAAATCATTTCCAAACAAACTAACCTGGCTCTCGACCCCACAGATCACAGGGAGAGACAGTGAAACCAAACAGCTGCGAAAGGGAAAAAAATCAAACAAACAGGACAAATAAAAACATTTCCAAACCAAAAACAAGGGGGAAAAAGAAATACAACTGTCTGAGGAAAAGAAACTAAACATTCACTTTCGTGTGCAGGCATGCATGCAGGCTAATACACATGCATGCACGCACGCACACACACACACACACACACACACACACACACACACACGCACGCACACGCACACACACACACACGTGCACGCACGCACACAGCCAGAGGTACAGTGAACAAAAGTGCTTCAAGTTGGGGAAGTAAAACAACTAACCCAGTAGAAATACGTATAAAACCTTAAATATGTTACTTATGTACAAAAACTGTAACACGGGCCAATATCTCAGCTGTTTATGTCTTTATATTTTCAAGTAGGTATCACTGCTAACTATTAAGGGTTTGCATTGTCATCGTTTTTAGGATAAAAGGTCATGTGATCTGACTGACCTTGCCGGCAAAGTAATCAATCACTGCTGATTTTTAAATTTCTCCCATCCCACCCTGGCCCACCTCAACCTGCCATCTTTTTTTCCCCTTCCAATACAAAGTCAAACAATGATCCCTGGACATCCCGCATATTCCAAACCTCTCCCTATATGCTTTACTCTGAGAAATAATATACTGAATAGCCATCTGTTTTTGCACCTCTAAATCTTAACATAGAAAATATATGTGTGTATGTATACCAAGTCTCTGTTGTCCAAAAAAACATGGAAGAGCACTATGAGGATTTTAGTGAATAACGTCATCTTGAGGGCCACTTTGAACCAGATGGGGGGAACAAAAATGGTTCACATGACGGTTTTCGGAGTTATGCACTGCACAACAGAAAAAAGAAAAAAAAAAGAGGGGAGGCCGTTCATGTTTTGAAGAGGCACAAGATTCATACGGCTTAGAGGCAAATCACAGGCGCCGTCCACAAATAGACAGTCAATACGCTCTAAGAGAGGGAGACGGATAAAGTGCAAAAGACCTACAAGACTAGGAAGAAATGGTGGGATTTCTCGGATAGCAGCAAAGAATCGGAAACTACACTTTTCTCTCCAAAAGGGGATCAAAATAGAAAAGCAGGTTTTGTCGATATAATTTAAATAAAATCACACTAAATGATTTAAAAGTATCTAGCTGACGGCAGCTAAACACACTACAGTCTTAAACGTAGATGATGAAACCCTCAAAACTGTCCAGCTCAAACTCGCTTTCTGTCTCCAATCTGTCGTTCATCTGTAAGGCCATTAAAAAACTGACGAGAGCGCACAAAGCTTTTGCCTCTAAACTGAGATGAACCGAAGGCCTCTGCAAAGTGCAAATGAAGTAGCACTGTTCAAGTATGCCACTGTGTAATGCGTGACCACACACACACACACACACACAATGCATATATACATACAGTCCTATGCATATATACATATGTGCATGACAGCAAATATATATAGAATCAATGTTCCAATATCTATGTACTACGAACATTTTCATAGTATTTATGGATATGTTATCATAGTATGTGTATATATTCATATGTAGTTGTGTCTCATTGTTTCATTACTAGACAATGGATTAATACAGTCATAATGCTTTATGACATGTAGACACTGATTTCAGGTTCCCCAGTCTAGAAACTATTTCTGCTCCTTTTCATGTCTTTTTTACTTGCAAAATGGGACCAGCCACAATCGCATTTAGCCAAACACTACAAATATTTATATATCTATATATTTATATGTATATATACCGTATATGTGTATATATATCCATTTATGTCAAACAAATATGAGGTGCTGCTTTCAATGCTTTCTGGGTGCTAAAAAAGTACCGGAAGGGGGGGGGGGAATAAAAGAAAGAAATCAAATGATTAAATCCCACACTACTTCAATTTCATCCTTTACCACTTTGTTAAAAAAAAAAAGAAAAAAGAAGCAAGATGCTGCTACATATTTGTAACTACAATAAACTCCCTTTCCCCTCCGCTCCTTACCCGTCCCTGATTGCTCATTTGGACATTAGCAAAATAAATGTGGGCAGCTATGGGCAGAGATACAACAAGCCAAAATAAACAAACAGAAACATGACAAACTTGACAGGGAAACAAAATGCTAACCAGTAACATCCATCTGCCATCAAACCAAAACCTTACCAAACCCAGAAGTTAAAACTATAGCAAATAACATTAAAATAATGAAAGTCATCAAAGTCATTTGTCTCGCTGGATGGGTGAAATACAGAAAACAAAGAAATGTCCTTTCAGTGAAGTCTATCTCCTTTCGCACACTGGTCGCCATATCACCACAATCACTTGTAAGCGTGGTTCGGTGGGGTTGGGTGGGGCGGGGCGGGGGTAGGGGGGGTGAGAGTATAACCAAGCTCCGGAGCTGCGAAGGAGAACACACAATCTTTAAAGTAACGACAGGACTCCTGTGACGTGATTTTTCAACAGTTGCTCCACTTCCTTCGTCGTCACTTGTTCTGTTTTGTTTCACGATGAGCAGGTGGGTGTGTGCACGTGAAGGAGGCGAGGTGGTGGAGGTTCGTGGAGTTTTTTTTTTCTTTTTAAAGGGAGGTGGGGGGCGTTTGGGAGGGGCAGGGTGGTCGATGGTCGACGCTCCACGCAGTTCAATAAAGAGCATTCCAAGGTCAGAAAAAGAAAGAGCTGGAGCGTCACTCCCATCCGTTGTCCTTGATCATGTGAGCCAGCTCGATGATGAACTTTCCCTCTTTGTACTTTTGACTGCTCTCAAACGCGTGCTCCTGCAAAAATAAAAAACCGATAATAAGAGAAAAACTTTAGTTACAAGACCAACTGACACTGGTGTCGATAGTGACAACACCAGTCAACATGTCAAATAATGTGTCCATTATAAAGATATGTACACTATTTTAAGTTGAGTAATAAATATCATTAACAAAGTCACGTCAGTACCAGTCAATATTAGATAACAGAAACCAATTATTACAAACTCCAAATATGTGTCAAACTATCACAACTTTATTTTAAATTCAAGATCCGGATGTTGTCAAAGATACCAAGGATCGCTGAATCTTGGGGATATTTATCTAAAATGATGCAAAATACCTCTACAACAATAACCTAGGAGTCTTGGGTTTGAATATTTCATTCAGTGTAAATCATCTAGTTTTAATTAAGATGCACAGTATATGTCATACTGTCAAACAGAGTGGAATAACATGGCTTTTTCAAACTTAAACTACGTGAGGGGGAAAACTATTATTATTAAGTATTAAGGAGTTCAATAATAAATACTTTAAATAAAAACGCATGAAACAAAATGTTAAACTTGACTTTCGAAAAAGCATAAGAATGCTGTCAAATGTTATCAACTCTTTCCATTTGGCCATTTTGATTTCTAGATGAATCTATTAGTGTTTGTTTTAAACGTTACAGACAGAAAAAAGCACAACGAAACATTCAAACTACAAAACTTGGAGAGATGGAACTGATATCCCCTCCCGCCCCATATACAACCATTGCTTATCATGTAACCAAAAGTTGGGTCTCCAGGTAATTTTTCCAGGGCTTTAGCCCCGAATGTTTTGACTGTAGTCCCAGATGTAACTCAACAACAACAACATCAACAATAATATTTTCTCTATCAATGTAATAATCCTCATGACGCAGCCTGTCTCGCAGGTCTTCAAAGAGTGGAGGCTACTCACAATAATATCACTACATTTTGTTTTTAGTTCATGTAACGTGACCCTCCCCACCGTTACTCAGCTCGAGAAGAAGCTCTTAATGTTTTAAGTTTTGGTCAAACCGCTGTTTCATCTTTAACTCAGTTGAAAAAAATGGTTTAATGTGTTCATTTTCTCGTCATCCTCCTTGTCTTCCTTCACGACATTAACAAAAGGTCGTCAGTAAGGAGTGAGGTTGAATAGATTTGTATTTTTTAGACTGATGCGTTTAAGGTCACGAATGAGAAGTCCAAAATGTTTTAAAAGGTTTTCATAAAGACAGTCTGGCATTTATTTATTTTGATGATTTTGCTTTTGTATTATTTCTCCTACATGGAGAAACTTTAATGTGTTATATTTATAAACTTTGACCCACACAGTGAAAAATTACTTTAGTCTTCAAAAGGCTTTTCAAATGCTTTTACGTAAATAATGGAGAAAACTATGAATTCCAATTACAACACTGCAGAGGTGGCATGTAATAAAGTATGCAATAACTTAGCAAGCTAATTTTATTTCCAGCCGAGGCATCAAGACAAATATGCACACATTATTTCATCTGGTCTCGTTATTATCTGAGAAAAGCAGGATTTTAGACGCGCAGAGAAAAATTTAAATGAAGTGAAAATTAAAGTTTCCTCCAGTGACCAAATCACCTTTTTCAGTGTGTGTGTTTGATTATTTGCTCAGCCTGCTTTGCCTTGTAAACCAGCGCTGCTCTGCTTTGCTTGCGGGGCCTTTCTGAGAATCTCTAATTGTTTTTGTCACTGAAGGAGCGGCTTTAAGTGAGTGCCTGTCTTATACTTTGTTCAGTTATTTTACACCCTTCTATAGTCTTTTCAGACAATTACCAGGACAAGCCTCTTCAGAATGGCCTGACATTTAATCACTGTAGACTCTCTGAGGTACCAGTCTGGCTGTCTGCAGCCAACCTTTCGGCATTGTAATTATCTTGAGCGCTAGGAGACTACAGAGCGCTCAATCTCTGAGCCTAAATACAACTGTGATAAAAAAAAAACTGTCACCATGGCTTTAACTAGCAATGTTATAATGAGAGCAACCTTGTTCTTTTGACCTGTAAAAGCATGATTTGTCCCCTTGGAAGCTAAGAAACCACATAGTTGTGCAACAACACAGTGACAGGCGTAAATTGTGCTTCAAGAAACATTCAAACGGGAAATAATTGGCCTCAGGTGAAAGTTAAAGGAGCGACTGGCTTACATATTTCCAGCCCAGGGTGGTTTTACAGTTTTCACAGTAGATATCAGCCACAGCATGTAAACCTGTGAGGAGTACCCGCTCCTCCGCTGGCCCGCAACCGACATTCACCCTGCAGGGAAGACAGGAAGTGGAGATAAGGTCACAGAGGTCAGGGTTTTTACTTTAGAGTAAAAGCAATAAAACATTCAAAGTAAAAGTATTTATTGTGAAGAATATTCCCTGTCAAAGTGTACATGTTACTGTATTCATTATTGAAATGACTAAGACTGTTAGAAACTAAACTTAAATATACTTCCCAAAACAAATACAAATGGATGAAATTATTCATATATCCAATTCTATCTCAATTATGTCTTTATATTTGAGATATTAGGTTCTTCATATGAGATTTTATCAATTTTTGTTATTGTCTTGTTCTTAAAACAGTTTGGGGAATTAAAAAAATCAAAATGTCAAAAATACCTTTGCCCTCAAGCTAAAAAAAACAACAACAAAAAAAACAAGGCTATATTCCTTAGTCCCCAAAAAGTTGACATTTTGGAGATAAGTTTTTTACCTGGCAACAGGGACATTTTCTGACCATCTGCAGCATCTGCATCTCCAAAGTAACCACTAACTCCAGCCTTCAGATAACTGTATTGGAGTATAAAGTATAACGTCTCCCAAAATGGAAATACTACAGTGCCAATACTTCAAATTTGGAAATCGATTGTTTTTTTAATCTTTCCTACATATTTGTACTTTCTTTCTTACTAAACATTATACCAGTGAACACTGTGCTGCTGTTTACCTTTTGAGTGGCATTTTAATTACAGGAAATGTCACAGACAAATAAGCTCACTGCGGTTCTGTTGAATCCTTCACCACATGTAACCAAGTTACATGTAGACGTCTGCAAAACTAAAATTTTCCCACCAAATGTAGCTATTTTTAGGCCAAACGTCTTTTGACCTGCAAACCGGCATAAACATTGTTCACTGGATTTCGTATGTTTTCACATTGGGCATTTTTTGGAATTATTTATTTGGTCTCCAGAGCCTGTAGAGTACTTCTTTTTATTCAATTCACTCTGGCAGGTAAGGGGAGGAGGGGGGTTTCTGTGTGGTTCATTATGACCAACCAACCAAGAAATAAACCGCTAAAAGTGATTCATGGGTTTAAAGAGATTAGAGACGTTAACCAGCGGTTCCTGTAGCATGGACTGAAATATTCAAAGAACACAAGTCCATCAGCTCAGTTTACCAAGAAGTCTTGATTTGGTGATTTCAAAAAACACATCTGTGTGCGTAGATTAAAACTGGGTTTGATGTCTACGTTACAATAACCATTGTTTCAACAGCGTTTCAATGACTGTACTTCAACATGTAAGTAGGATCCAGTTCATATTAAAATATAGTCATCTAATTGCTGTTGAAATATTTTTGTTTAAGCTAGACTCCACTTAACAGAATTCAGCCTACTTTAAGATGTCTTGTCCTCTTTTCATCTGCAAATCACCAAATCAGTGCTTCGTGGGTATAGTGGGAACAGACTGGAATCATACTGGTTTTGACTCTCTGTGATGCCATAAATCCTGTACCTTCTGCAGTTCTATTTGCTTTCACACTGGCAATTTAGTACAGCTAAGAGTTTTTGCCCCAAATTTTGTTAATATTATACATTAATGTCTGAACCCATGTACAGACCAAGAAATCCTACCCTAACATTGGATTTAAGCACGCCGTGATCCAGTGTGTGTGCAGTCAGACACCAATCCGTACTTCCACAAGGTCAAAATGTATGTGCATATCATGCTAACAACGTTAGTGGCGGTAGTGATTTGATAAAAATGCCTCACTGGTATATGGACAAAGAGGCATTCAAGACCACCTCGATATTCCAAATGTGGAATGACCAATTCCCAAATGCACTATGTTCCTTGTCACTGCTAACTACTGATGAACTGGTAGGTGTGTAATGCTATCCCCACTTCCATCCACCAATGTGCAGATGCCCTGACTGCCAGTAGGAGTCACTGGTGCAGATATAAAGATGTGACCCCTCACCGGCTTCCCACCCGCAAACATTGCAACAGTTGTGGGGTGGCTTTAACTCAAGGAGTGGAGCGGTTTGACTATTAATTGAAGGCTCGGTGGGTCAGTCCCCTCCTGCTGTCCGTGTGATGAAGTGTTCTTGAGAAAGACATTGAACCTCAAACTCCTCCCAACATGGGTGTTTATATGGGTATAGGGGGAATTGTAAAGCATCTGCAGAGTGAAACTTACGTAGTGCAATGTATCTGTTGAAACAGATAATCGAGAAATGGCTACTGGGAATAAAATCAGGAGTAAGTTCTTGACATGTGTGTGCAGTCATTCTGGCAGCAATGGTAACAGCTGCACTGTGTTGTGAAAGGACTATGCTGGCGTGTCCTTGTTCAGAAAACAAGACTAAACAAGTGTGAAAGCAAAGCAGAAGGCTTAGGTGAAGGGGGACAATTGAAATCAAAACAAGCGGGAAACTCCGGATCTGAAAACAGTCAAAACAAACGCAGCCAGTGTGAACAACTCTGTCCAGCAAATGAACTACTTGTGAGGCCATGTAACTTTCATTTACAAGCCCCAGATAACTTGTAAATTACACCATATGAACCTGAATAAACAAAATGCACAAAAAGAGCAAAGTTTTCCCACTTAGAATAAATGAGGTGAATTGTAGGTGTGGGTCTCATACTTACACTGAATTAAACAGATAGGCTCTTCCTTGACTGCCTTGAAATGACTGAAGAAGAGAGAGAGAAAAACTCATGTAAGTAGTCAATACCATGGCAACTTTAATGATACTTTAGAGAGATGCTTTTGTTTGTTGAGAACTGAAGTTGGATTTCTGTCTTTCCTTGTTACACCGGAGCAGAAAACTTGAACTCAAACTTAACATGTTTTGCCAATGCTTGACTTTCTGCAAAATATCTGTTAGAAAATCATCTTCTGGACTATTAATGAAGGTGTGTTTTAAATAACATTATGTGCCAAAATCAAAAGATTACATACCCTGCTGCAAACTTAACAGTCAGTGTATTTGCAGAACACCACAACAGTTTTTACAGCAGTGGCTAACAGCTGATAGAAGAAGAGACTTTAATGCCTGAACAATGATCAGAATCTGAGCTGAGCTTTCTGAATGTAATGTCAATAGAAGCACAGCCAAGATACAGTTATACAGAGACACTATGTAAACTGCACACACACACATACACATTTACTTATGTCACTTTTGGGGACATTACATAGAGTTAGAGATTTACCCTAACCTTAACCACTGTCCCAAAAATCTGCTTTTTCCCAGTTGGCGACACGGCTTTTGTCCCCAACTTGAGCTAGCTGTCCCCAAGCAACTTGTCTTTAGTCTGAAATGTGTCCCTGAAGGTGGCATAAGCCAGACCCACAAACACACAGCTGATTACAATGCTGAGTCATGATTTAATGATTCAAAACATCCCTGTCAACCCCAAATGAGTACATGCTGAAAACCTGAATAAGTTGTGTTAAAGGCACCCTGTATAGTTTTCTTATAAACAAATACTGTTTACGTTCAGTTTTTATCACCAAAATGAAGTGTGTCCTTGAGGCTTGACCCTTGCCAAACAGACATTTATTAAGATACATGTAAATGTCTCTGCAGATCTACGCAGAGAAAGGTGTTAAGGCAGGAGAAAAGTCATTTCGCACACCTTGCAAAAATCTCAACAACTCGTCCTGTTTGAGCCAACTTCCTGATGGGAGGTGGGTTTGAAACAAAGAAAATATCTTCACGCATAATGCAATGAAACACATGACCACTAGGGAACAGTTCAGCGGGATTTCAAAGAGATGTCCACAGTAGAGAAACTGACGTCTCCATGCCGCTCCACAATAATAAATATGCTTGCTAGATTAGTTGGTGTGAGACTACAAACATTTTATATACATGGAACGCTAAGAAATAGATAAATAAGTTAATACACAACATAAACGCAGTCATGTAGTCCTGATGAATGTAGGCACTTAAATAAACATCCGGCTGCCCGCCTGCCACTGAGTCTACACATAACGTTACTGTATATTAATGTAAACAGAGCTGTAAAGCCGTCACAGTGGGTGACGACAGAGCCTGCCAGGCTTCTCTCCTCCATCCTCCCAGTCATCCTCGGCCCGGCAGACAGGCCCCAATCAGCTTTGCTTTTTCCATTGCAAATGAGTGCGGCAGATAAGTTTGTGGCTGCGGTTGAGGGCGCTGAGCTAATACCGCCTAATAGGAGGACCAGCTGCCTCCTCCACTGACCACAGCCACCACTGAGGCTCAGGGGACATTTTCAACTGCTGGAGTGCTGTCAGCATTTGTCAAAACGGGAAAAGTTTTATTTCAGATAATAGGAGTTTGACTTGGATCTGATTCAAGAGCAATAAATTTAAGAAAAAAAAAAAATTCCAGGATTATTATCTTTTCTCTGCTCTCTCCTCTGGTCACTGTAGGTGTTGATGTCTTGCTGTTACATCCTCGAGTTCATTGTTTGTGTTTGAAGTGAAGTCTACACACACACACACACACACACACACACACGCAGTGCAGAGCCACAGGACATGTGACCTTTAGCTGTGAGAGGGAACTAGGTCGGTCCCCGTGGAGTCAACAACAAGTCCTCTCCCCAGTGTTTAGTCCAGGGAGGGGAAGGGTGGGGGGTTACTCCATGTGACAAGAGCTGGGTGTCATATCTGCGCTTCACTGTGGCTCAGCCATCAACTTAACCACTGGCAAAAAGGGACGGCTCCGTCTCTTGCTGTCCTTATCTGTTTCTATTTTTACTTTGGCTGCATTTCTCTCTCTACAGCTTTACTGTAGATCACTTGGCTACAAAAACATCAGGAGCAGGAGGATGCTTGTCACATAGCCCGTTAAGAATCTAACAGCAAAATCCTACAAGATCAGTAAACAGACAACAACAACATTTGGATCATGTTTTTTTGAACGCAGAGTGCAGCCCAATAGCTTTTGGGGCTGCACTAAAACCCTCCAGACTCTGAACAATCCTATTAGACGGCCAAATGGAATGCTGCAAGGATTGTTCCCAAAATGTGCACCAAGAATCAGATGCAGGCTGGAAGAACTCCCACAGGTTGTTCTTTTTTTTTGCTGCTTAATAAAACATGAGCAAGAGTGTGGTTACCGAGCTCGCTATCTTGAGCTGCTGCAATTGCACTCATTTTAAAACACTTGTACCCAAGAAATGAATTCTACAAAGCAAATCTCAAAATCCCCGAATCCTCTTGACCACACAGGACTGAAGGGAACAATACCTCGCACAGAGAAATCCGCTCCTTCTGCCAAACATACAAAAAATACAAATCCACCCCCAGAGGCGAAATGCTTCAACTGTAGAGAGCAGCGGGTTCTCTGATGGACTCACAGGCAGACAAACTGCATGAGATTTCACCAAAATTAACAAAGAGGATTTCTTTCAGCCCCTTAAATGTGTGACACAATAAATCAAACCAAGTTGTGGAATAAAGATTAACTTGAAGCTATTAACAAACCTGCTGAGGTTGACTTTTACCATCTGTCTCAACAGATGCTCACTGTGGTAGGTGAGGGTTCATCTCCAACTTAAATGCATCCTGGTAAACCCAAAAGATCTGTTTCAATTCAGTATTTTAAAGGATTAAACATCTTACAATCTTACATTATGTTTTGCAATACTCTAATCTCAAATACCACTTGTGCATCTAACAATGTTTACATAAGTAATGATAAATGATTCATGATACCACTGAAGGTATTTCAGGCCTGACCCTCCTTGACCATATGTAATTAATTCACAATTAAATATATGCTCACCTGGAATACACTCAGTGAGGCTGTAGAGATACTATGAGCTAAATGCTAACCCCTGCATGCAAACATAATCACAATAACAATGCTAACATGCTGATGTTTAGCAGGGGCTGTTCAGCAGCCTCGTTGCAAACCTCTGAATTACCCACATCCATTCAAATAGGATGTGCTTATGACGTGTGTTTATGGCAGGTTGAGAAACAGTCGACCAGTCAGAGCTTTGTAGGCAAGATTACGGATATTGCTATACTGCTAGCTACCTAGCAAAAGCCATAAAAATAGCCACAGGAAAATGGTCACAACGCTCACAACGCAGCTGTAAATCTTATTGTAAGTCCACTTCAGGGCTTTGTTAATTCCTGTGAAAGCTGCTCAGTGGTGCATGAAGCCAAAAAAGTTTGATGCATTGTGCAGCCCCACAGGGACAAGCGCTCTAGAGACTTAACTTGCAGTTTAGCTTCAGCTAACTTGAATGAGGATAAATGGATTTTATCGTGCAGCTCTTCTATACTTTACAAATGTAATCACACCAAATCGGTAAAATTCTGATAGTAAAAAAAGTAATTTTGCGAGGGTTGTGACACAGAAACAAATCCACTGTTTTAATGCCACTTCAACACAACAATGTAAGCCACCATTTGGCCACTATGTCACATTGGCTTCAAAGCATGGCACACTTCCATGGCGCTTGCTCCTGCTACCCAAAGTTCTGTGTTGACCAAGCGGGAACCTCCAGATCAGAAAAGTGAAGCCAATGCTGGAAGTGTCTTGAACCTGCATTCTTTGTAATGGCCAGCTCCACTGGTTGCATATGTCCCATTGAACAGAAGTCTACAGAAGTCCCTATTTCTCACTTTTATTACCTCAGTAAACACTTCTCTAATGAGTTTATGGTCTCAATCGCTACTCAAGTCTTCAATACAGCATGATGTTCATTTAGTAGATTAAAGTCTCATCTAGGGCGTGGCAACCTTGGGATTGACAAGACACTACCACAACGACCTGTCAGGAGTAGCAATGTGTATCCCTCCCCAGCTACACCCTCCCATTCCAATAACGGTCACTTCTGTTTGTGGACTTCACGGCAGTCCACAAACCAATGTGTGACGTCATGGTGGCTACAACCACTTCTTTTATACAGTCTATGGTGTCGCGTGAAATTATGTCGGCAGGACTGATACGCTGACCTAGAATATTTGGTTTAATTATTATATTAAAAAAAGAGAGAGGGAGAGCAGTAACAAATTGACTGTTCTGTCACGGTTACCTCAGTCTCATGTAAACCATCAGAGTCTTGGCAAACGTCCAGCTGGAAGAAAAAAAAAAAAAAAGAAAGACCACAAGCAAGTGCAGCGGTTAATGGCAAGAAAAGAAAAGTGTGATCAATCCATTAGAGGGGCTTCCATCAGCCTGATGGGTGGGACGAAGCCAAGGTGCTGAATAAAACACTCTCCCTCCTCCTCAGTATTCAGGCTGCATCGTCCCACTCCAGGACCACGTTCACACTGCAGGCCTTCACGCTCTTACTCTCAACTCACACTGCTATCTGATTTCAGGATGGTGCTCAAATCTGCTGCAGGGTGTAACCCATATCTGATAAAAATATGAAGTGACAGTGATGTTGAAAAGATGCAGCGTGCTCAGGATGACAATAACAACAGATGTCAGATCTGATTTTGTGCCTACACTTCTTGTTTTCAGCATGTTTTGGGTGAAGGTGTTGAATGAAATAAAGTCAAGTCAGTGATTATGTTTTCCTGTCACTGTGGCATCTTGGTAACCTTCATGCTAACAGAGCCTCATGTAGTTGACTGGTCGCTAACAGTGATTGTGCAGTCATAGCTAAGATTTGGATTTGTCCACATGCTGAACAGGCTCTGAAAAGTGAAGCCATTGTGGAAGTCCCTTAAACC